TATTTCCCTTTTTTTTATTTCCCCTTTTTTCTTTTATTTCCCTTTTTTTTTCTTTTATTTCCCTTTTTTTCATTTTTCTCCTTTTTTTCTTTTTTTTCCCATGTTTTATTTCCCTTTTTTTCATTTTTCCCCTTTTTTTCTTTTTTTTCCCATGGTTTTTTTTAAATTTTTCCTCCTTTTTTCTTTTATTTTCTTTTTTTTCTCCCCTTTTTTCCTCTTATTTTCACTTTTTTCTTTCATTTCCCTTTTTTTAAAATTTCCCCCTTTTTTTCTTTTTTCCCCTGTTTTTTTTTAAATTTTCCCCCTTTTTTCTTTTATTCCCCGTTTTTATTTTATTTCCCTTTTTTATTTCTCCCCTTTTTTCCCTTTTTTTTCTTTTATTTCCCCTTTTATTCTTTTATTTCCATTTTTATTCTTTTATTTCCATTTTTTTTCTTTTATTTCCTCTTTTTTTTATTTTTCCCCCATTTTTTTTAATTTCCCTCCTTTTTAATTTTATTTCCCTTTTTTCTTTTATTTCCCTTTTTTATTTCTCCCTTTTTTCCCTTTTTTCCTTTTATTTCCCCTCTTTTTAATTTTATTTCCTTTTTTTTCATTTTTCCCCTTTTTTTTCTTTTTCCCCTGTTTTTTTAATTTTCCCCTTTTTTTCTTTTATTTCCCTTTTTTCATTTATTTCCCTTTTTTCTCTTATTTCTCCCTTTTTTTTTCTTTTTTCCCTTTTTTTTCCTTTTATTTCCCTTTTTTCTTTTATTTCCCTTTTTATTTTATTTCCCTTTTTCTTTTATTTCCTTTTTTCTTTTATTTCCCTTTTTTCTTTTATTTCTCCCCTTTTTTTCCTTTTTTCCTTTTATCTCCCTTTTTTACCTCTTTTTTATTTCCCTTTTTTCATTTCTCCCATTTTTTTCTTTTTTCCTTTATTTCCCTTTTTCTTTTTATTTCTTTTTCCCTTTCTTTCCATTTTCCTTTTTTTTCCTATTCCCCCTTTTTTCTGCTTTTCCCTTTTTTTCTCTTTTTTCCCTCCTTTTTTATTTTTCCCTCTTTATATCCCTTCCTTTTTTCCCCTTTTTCCTCTTTTTATTCATTTTCTCCTCTTTTTTTAACCCCTTCTTTTCCTCTTTGTTTTTAAAATTTCCCCCTCTATTTTCCCCCTGCATTTTTTTCTGCCTTTTCTTCTCCATCTTTTAAAAACCTCTTTTACTTTCCCAATTTGCCTTTTCTTTATTTTATATTTTTTTTCATTCCCTCCCTCGCGCTCTCTGTGCTGCTCCAACCTCAACCCCGTTTTTATCGCATTGTACCCAACCCCCCGCGGCCGCTTTGTACAAGGTGGAACTCGATACTTTATGTAGTTTTTATATGTTGTAATATTTCTTCAAATAAATCGCGCCTATAAGTTATAAAACAATTATTAAAAAATTCTCTCCGCCGCGCTACGAGTAGGCCGCAAACCCTCATGGCGGCGTTGCTTAGCAACCGCTTCCCGCCATGCCCCGCGCGGGGCGCTTCCCGCCTTCCCCCCGCCGGAAGTGACGCGCGCGGGCCGGAAGTGGCGGGCGGCCTTTCCGGTGTGGCGGCGTGAGGGCGGCGGAGGCGGCGATGCCGACCGGGGACTACGAGTGAGGGGGGGGAGCGGGAACCGGGAGCGGGAACCGGGAACGGGAACCGGGATTGGCTTCGGGACCGGGGGCGGGAACCGGGATCGGGAATTGGGATCGGGAACAGAGTCACGGCGGGCTCGGGGCCTGGCGGGGCCTGCTCGGTCCCGGCTGTGGGGCCCGGTCGGTCCCGGTTCGGGGTCCCCGAGGTCCCGGTCGGTGTCCCCGAGGTCCCGGTCGGGGTCCCCGAGGTCCCGGTTCGGGGTCCCCTGAGGTCCCGGGGGGCTTCGGGCGGGGCCGGGGCCGTGAGGGGAAAAGGGGCGGGGGGACAGGAGGGGACAGAGGGACAGGAGGGACCGTGGGGGTGGCACCGAGGGGACAGGGAGCTTGAGGGTGGCACTGAGGGGACAGGAGGGACCCTGAGGTGGCACCGAGGGGACAGAGAGGACAGGGAGCCTGAGGTGGCACTGGGGGGACAGGAGGGACCTTGGGGGTGGCACTGAGGGGACAGGAGGGACCTTGGGGGTGGCACTGAGGGGACAGGAGGGACCTTGGGGGTGGCACCGAGGGGACAGAGGGGACAGGGAGCCTGAGGTGGCACTGAGGGGACAGGAGGGGACAGGGAGCCTGAGGTGGCACTGAGGGGACAGGAGGGGACAGGGAGCCTGAGGTGGCACTGAGGGGACAGGAGGGGACAGGGAGCCTGAGGTGGCACTGGGGGGACAGGAGGGGACAGGGAGCCTGAGGTGGCACAGAGGGGACAGGGAGCCTGAGGTGGCACGGGGGTGGCACTGGGGTGGCACCGAGGGGACAGGGAGCCTGAGGGTGGCATGGGGGTGGCACCGAGGGGACAGAGGGGACAGGGAGCCTGAGGTGGCACTGAGGGGACAGGAGGGACCTTGGGGGTGGCACTGAGGGGACAGGAGGGACCCTGAGGGTGGCACTGAGGGGACAGAGGGACAGGAGGGACCTTGGGGGTGGCACTGGGGGGACAGAGAGGACAGGGAGCCTGAGGTGGCACTGGGGTGGCACAGAGGGGACAGGGAGCCTGAGGTGGCACTGAGGGGACAGGAGGGGACAGGGAGCCTGAGGTGGCACTGGGGGGACAGGAGGGGACAGGGAGCCTGAGGTGGCACAGAGGGGACAGGGAGCCTGAGGTGGCACGGGGGTGGCACTGGGGTGGCACCGAGGGGACAGGGAGCCTGAGGGTGGCATGGGGGTGGCACCGAGGGGACAGAGGGGACAGGGAGCCTGAGGTGGCACTGAGGGGACAGGAGGGACCTTGGGGGTGGCACTGAGGGGACAGGAGGGACCCTGAGGGTGGCACTGAGGGGACAGAGGGACAGGAGGGACCTTGGGGGTGGCACTGGGGGGACAGAGAGGACAGGGAGCCTGAGGTGGCACTGGGGTGGCACAGAGGGGACAGGGAGCCTGAGGTGGCACTGAGGGGACAGGAGGGACCCTGAGGGTGGCACTGCACCTGTCACACCTGTCACACCTGTCATTCATGGTACCTGTCACACCTGTCATTGGTGCCACCTGTCACACCTGTCACACCTGTGACACCTGTCATTCATGGTACCTGTCACACCTGTCATTGGTGCCACCTGTCACACCTGTCACACCTGTCATTCATGGTACCTGTCACACCTGTCATTGGTGACACATCTCGGGGTGCCACCTGTGTCCTCGGGGACAGAGAGCTGTTCCAGGGCTGGGCG